ATCTATAGTGTCGATGAGCTGCGTATTTTCCTTCTGGAAAAAATGGAGAAGCATCGTCTTAACCCCCAGATAAAAAACGCTCACATTCCGACTGATCAAGATGAACGGGATTTTTCCAACCGACTTCTAAAGCAGAAGAAGAGTCGGATGCTCGAGTTAGACATGGCGCCCTTGTCGGAAGAGCGTAAGGCTAAAATTCGTCGGGCCTTCATCAACATGGTCCTTGAGGTAGAAAAGGTCAAAAAGCCCGACCTGGCGAACATATGTGTTGAGGCAATTGCTGAGGCCTTTGTTGCGGAGACACTTGAAAACCTCTCCGATGAGGAGCTCATGGATGCTATTACCGGCTTCGCTTTGCAAAAGGTGGCGGAGGATGACGCCAAGGCTAAGGGTTGGTTGACGGAACTGATTCCCTCCGACGATGATCGAGTTTTACATGAAGATGATGACGTCGTCATCATAAAGGAAAGTGATGTCGTCCGAGCAATGGAGGAGAAAGAGGAGGAGGCGATGCAACGTCTGGGCCAAAGGTTGATAGATCACCTAGAGTCGGTAGATAAAGGAAAAGCTGAAGTCGGGAACTCTCAATCTTCCACAGCCGGAGGGGCTTCATCGTCGGGGACAAACAAAGATGATTTGAATGAAACCTGATAATTAGTTGTTGTTCTTTATTTTTCTTCATCGGATGTTATGACAATATTTTATTATGAATGGAATTTAATGTTTTATGATTTTGTTATTCTTATGAATGTAGTACCATGATATATTACTGTAACAAGTCAAAACACGACGGAGTAAAGATAAATGAATGTTTAGCAAAGAATGCTTTTGATTGTTCCGACGTGATATTTGGCATTTACGCTTTCTTATGAGTTTGTCTGAATTCTCGATATCGGTATAATTTATAGCATATCCGACATCTATAAACTCTTTATCAGAACAAGTCATAATCAACTTGCTTTTAATGTATAAGTCTTTGAATGTTTCAAAGAACTCAGAAATATTTATTGTAAGCTCATCAAATCAACGTCGGGATTTGAAATTGTGGAGCATAAGCCTCCCCAAACCATCTTCAGGGATTGGAAGTATCCGGCTTTGTTACGTTTGGCCAGGTCATACCAACTTCAGGGTATGAAACACGTTTAGCCTTAGCAACGAGGACTGATTTATTGAGGTCCGAGTGATCGAACAAATTATAGTGGTTCGTCACACAAACTTTATTGACAACAAAAAGTCATTCTTGTACATAGGCAGGGCAAAAGATTTTTATACAGCGGAGACAAAGGTTCAACCCTCAGGTTTACTGAAAGTACTTCTTCAGATAAGTCGCATGCCAAGGGTACAGAAAGGGAACACCATCTAGAGTTTCAAGTCGGTAGGTACCATTAGAAATCAGACGGTTCACTTTGAAGGGTCCTTCCCACTTCAGTTGCAACGGACCGACATTGGCCCCGGTAACCCTTTTCAACATGAGGTCTCCCACGACGAATGAGCGTGGCTTGAGCTTTGAATTAATGTACTTTTCACTACGTCGTTTGTAAGCAGCATTTCAAATTTCAGCTTCGGTCCGTAGTTCATCGACCAAGTCGAGATTGGTTCTCAAGCTTCCTGAGTTGGCTTCTTCGGAAAAGTGGATAATCCGATATGTTAGAGAAGTGAGTTCAGCCAGTATCACAACTTCAATTCCGTATGTTAATGAGAACGGGGTTTCTCCAGTTGAGTTTCGCGTCGTCGTCTGATAGGCCCAAAGGACATGGGGCAGCTCATCAGGTCAAGATCCTTTTGCGGTCTCTAGTCGGGTTTTCAAGCCATTCTTGATGATCTTATTTACAGCTTCTATTTTTCCATTAGCTTGTGGATGATAAGGTGACGATAAGAAATGCTTGATGCCATAGTCTTCACAAAAGCCTTCAAATCTTTTCCCTTCGAACTGACAACCGTTTTCGGTTATAATAGAGTTCGGTATTCCAACCGACAAACGACGGATTTCCAGACAAAATCGATCATTTTTTGTTCGGTGATGGTTGCAAGAGGTTCAGCCTCTACCCATTTGGTGAAATAAGCGACAGCCAATATCGCAAATCGAACACCTCCCTTTGCTGTCGGACGCGGACCAATTAAATCAATTCCCCATTTTGTGAACGGCCATGGACTATATATTAACTTGAGGAGTTCAGGATGTTGATTAACATTAGGAGCAAATATCTGGCACTTATGACATTTTCGTACCCAGTCCGCGAAGTCTTTCTTGACAGTCGGCCAATAGTAACCTTGTCGGAGAATCTTGTGGGATAATGCTTGTGCTCCTTGGTGGGTACCGCAGACACCTTCATGTACTTCTTGAAGAATTCGTCGAGCATCAGTTTCTGACAAGCATTTAAGTAATGGAGTGGAATATCCACGCTTGTATAGTGTTTCCTGATCGATCGTGAAATGAGCGACACGAACACGAAGGGTGCGAGCTTCTTTTGGGTCTTCAGGCACGGCCCCGGTCTGAAGGTAGTTGATGATTGGATCCATCTAAGTCGAATTTGGAATTGGCGATACAGCAGCAATCATGGCGACGTCGGTAGAGACTGTGGAGGAAGTCGTCTGTTGGTTAATTTGCACAAATTCGACATTATTCAAATCGGTTGAGGAGGCCAAGCGTGAGAGAACATCTGCTTGAATGTTTGACGATCGAGGTATGTGTTCCAACGTCATTTTGAATCGCGATAACTTCTTCTTGACGAGATCGAAATAAGGCAGCAATCGTGGTTCCTTGACTTCATAAGTGCCATTGATGTGGCTGACTAATAACTGAGAGTCAGAAAATATGCGGAGGGAGGAAACATTCATGGATTCAGCAAAATGCAGACCTGATAAGAGAGCTTCATATTCAGCTTCATTGTTAGTAGCTGGGAAAGTGAATGCTACAGAGTAACAAAACACTTGTTGATCAGGACTGACTAAAACGATTCCTCCTCCAGCTCGTATAGCGGTGGATGATCCATCGATGTAGAGATTCCACGTGGGATCCTGAATTGATGTGCTGACAGATGGGGTGAACTCTGCTATGAAGTCGGATAACACCTGGGCTTTGATGGTAGTTCGTGGGCGATACTGAATGTCAAACTGTCCAAGCTCAATAGCCCATTTGATCATTCTTCCCGACGTGTCAGGTCGATGGAGGACTTGTCAGAGAGGATATGATGTGAACACAACAACAGAATGTTCTAGAAAATATGGTCGCAACTTTCGTGCAGCAATGATCAAAGCAGAGGCTAATTTCTCCATATACGGATATCGCAATTCAGCGTCATGTAAAGCCTTGCTAACATAATATATTGGGAACTGCTGGAGTCCATCTGGTCGTAGAAGAACAGCGCTAACAGCAACATCACTTACTCCCAGATACAAATATAAAAGTTCATCGGGGAGAGGCTTTTGCAGCGTCGGAAGATGTGAAAGGACTTCTTTAATGTTATCAAAAGCATTATGACATTCTGTTGTCCATTCAAACGGCTTCTTCTTTTTGATAGCGTCAAAGAAAGGCTTACAATGATCCGTCGACTTTGAAATAAATCGATTCAGAGCTGCTAGCCGATCAGTTAAAGCTTGAACACCTTTAATGGACGTCGGAGGAGCCAAATCAAGTATGGCTTGAATCTTGACGGGATTAGCTTCGATCCCCCTTTGGCTTACTATGTATCCTAAAAATTTTCCTGATCCAACCCCGAAGGTGCACTTTTTGGGGTTAAGTACCATTGAATATTCACGGAGAATGTCAAAGACTTCGGAAAGACGGGCTATATGATTGGAGGCTTGTTCCGATTTCACCAGCATGTCGTCTACGTAAACTTCCATTGTGCGACCGATTAAGCGGGCGAACATTTTATTGACCAACCTTTGATATGTGGCCCCAGCATTCTTCAGTCCAAAAGTCATCATGACATAGCAGTAAAGACCTTGGGCCGAATAAAATGAAGTATGTTCAGCATCATCGGGGTGCATAGGAATTTGATTGTAACCGGAATAGGCGTCCAAAAAACTCATGAGCTGGTGTCCCGATGTAGCGTCTACCATATAATCGAAATGTGGAATTGGATAGCTATCTTTCGGGCATGCCTGGTTCAAATCTGAGAAATCAATGCATAAGCGCCAAAGACCAGTAGCTTTCTTAACCAAAATAGGATTTGATATCCACGTTGGATATTTTGCTTCTTTAACGAACTTGTTGTCTATAAGCTTGTTCACTTCCTCTTCAAGAGCCTTCTGACGATCTGGTCTGAATTTTTGGCATTTTTGTATGACGGGCTTGACAGTCTTATCCAAATTTAGCCGGTGACATGCTTTCTGCGGGTCTATTCCCTTCATATCTTCATGCTTCCAAGCGAACACGTCGGAATTTGACCGAAGAAATTGAATTAAGTGCGAGCGTGTGGGTTCTTGAAGACTAGCCCCAATGCGCAACGATTTTTCTTGAGTTTGTTCATCCATGTAAATAATTTCAAAATCTTAAACTAGTTCCGCCCGAACGTGATGACTCTTCTCTTTGAATTGCATCCTTGGATCTATATCTTCGTGCGCTCTCATATCCTCCGCAGAAAGAGGTTGTCCTTGGTCGAGGACTCCATCCGAGGTTTCAGGAAAATCCGACATCTCAATGATATCGGTATCAGGGACAGAGGAGATGTAGGTATTTGAAGAAGATTGATCTGTCATTGTAGCATCAGGAAGGATTGGATCTTTCAACTCAATAGAGCTATCAGTCTCCTGTACCTCGCATACATGAAGATTTCGTGAAGTTGAGAGCAACGTCAGACTTCGCGCCTCCCGCTGATCTCTATAGTGAGTGCCTTCTCCTTCAATGGTGGGGAACTTCAAGGCATAGTGAAAAATTGACACAGCAGCGCGGAGTTTATAAAGAGCAGTTCGTCCTACAACAGCGTTGTACTCATTTTGAACATCCAAGACTTTGAAGGTTTCCATAATGATCTTGGATTTTGGTCCAAAGCCACCAAATCGTATGGGGAGTAATATTTCACCGATAGGACAAGAAATACTTATGTTAAAACCTTGAATATGATCGTTACAGGGCCTAATGTCTGCAGGGTCCAAACCCAATTTCTTGAAAGTGCGAAACATCAAAATACTTGAATATGCTCCGGTATCAACCATAATTCGGTGTACATGGACTCCTCCAATCGGAGCAGTGATAATGAGGGCGTCGGAATGAGGATGAGCGAACAGATTGGCATTATCGATACTGAATGTGATAGGACAATTTCGTTTGTTAATAGTATCTCGAAGATCAATGTTCACAACTTGTTTCCCGGCATTTTGCGCTTCCCTAGCATAGGATTTAGCTTTTCGCCGAGACGTATCCAACTGCTTGGTATTAGAATTTACTCGGGGTATACAGTAAGAAGGGTTCAACGCGTCATGTGTTTTAGGTTTTTTGCAGTTGTCGGTCGAAGTACCGACAAGGGTAGAAAACGTAAAACCTTCCTTATCGTTCGCCCAGACTCTCTTCGGGTTAACGGGTCGGTTATCATCGTCTTCTTCGTCTGAAAGATCCACGGGCCTTCCTTTCCGGCGATTGTCAAAATTTCTAAACTTTTGAAGTTGAGGCTGACCAATTAAACATAAAAGGGCCGATAAGAGACCGAGACATTCATCGGTATTGTGTCCCGAAGATTTATGGTACGCACAATATCGAGATTTTTCCAGCTTGTCTTCAGAAGTTCTTACTGGTTTCGGATCATGAATAATTCCCTTTCCTTTCAGTTCTTTAAAAATTGTGGATGCTCCAGCCGAATAAATGGTTTGATAGCCTGTCCTCATGTTGTCGGCATATTGGTCTCGGGCAGCTCTGGATTTCGGAGTATTTTCATATCCTTTTGAGTAGTTCCGATATTGCGCTTTTTTGCATCTGACTCAGTCTTATTCTCCTTCACCGAGAAGTCGAAACTAGGAACCGACATCGACTCCTCGGAGATAATGAATTATTGAGCTCGTACGAGGAATTCTTGAAAGGTAGCCGGCTTGTTTTGACATAAGGTCCAGCGAAACATCGAATTGGGCTTTAACCCAGCAATTGCAGTCACTAGTAGGGTCTCAGGGTGACAAGGTTCCATGTTCTGAATTCGATCGTTAAACCGAGATATGTAATCCTTTACGATTTCGTCATCCTTTTGCACGATATTAGTGATCGATTCTTTTGGGATAAGGCAAACTTGAGCTCCGATGAAGTGTGATCGGAAAGCTGCACGTAATTGTTGCTACTTCCAAATTGAGGTGGAAGAGTATAATACCATTTTTGTGCCCGTGGCCCCAGTGTGAGGGAAAACATCCGACATCTTAAAGCATCCGAGGCTCCGTGCAAATCCATCCACGACGTATAATGACCTAAATGCGCATCTGGATCCAAAGTTCCATCATACATACCAATTTGTGGGATTTTTACTTTAGCAGGGAGTGCCTCCGCAGTAAGTTCTGGAGCCAAAGGTGAATCAGCTTCAATGATAACATTTCCCGACGTCGAGACATGTCGGGGACAATCTTCTTGCGACTTCTGTCGAGTCTCAATTTCAGCCAATCTTTTACAGAGAACCTCGATTTCTTCTGCACTATGTCTTGACATGCGATTCCGTTCAATCTGACACCGTAAATCTTCACGGTCACGAGGCACCGGTGAGATAGGTCTAGGACGCGATGGAATTCTTTGACGATGAGCAGAGTGGCTTTCAGCAGTCATCTCCTGAACAGGAGGTTCCTCCGCGACCTGGTTGTTCATTACTGGATTAGCGGTTATACGAGTTACTCCTCTTGATGTGTAGAAGTATGGTGTGGTTGTGACGTAGCATGCGATGTCGCTGCATGTGTTTCAGGGTCATGATGAGTAAGATTTGGATGTTCCGTTGGATTCGTAAGAAACGGCGTAGATACAGGTATAGTACTCGAGTGTCTGGGCATGGCTCGAGCTATAAGAGAGGTTAAACCTTGAATAAACTCCGGGTTTTGAAGGAAGTTCGTGATATTCGTGACCGGAGGAGGTGGTGTTGAACGCCTTGGGGAATGATTAGTCGATTGGCTCTGGCCATGATGAGCCGTATGATCTCGACCAGATTGCGACATGGTAACTTCAAGCGAGGAGATGGCTATAACATCGAAAGTTAACCTCAAAAACGTTATGGCCCCTCCTTCTAGCGCCAAACTGTTGTTATATGGGAATTAACAACGATTATGTAATGGAATTAGAAATTAAGAGTTCAGAAAAGATGTATTTTATTGAAAGAACATTAAGTGTATTGAACGTGAATGTCTGTATCATTCTCTCTCTTGGGAAAAAATTCCCCCCCTCCTTTTATATTTTTGTACAATCTTATCAGAATAATAATCATTACATTTTGAATAGTCAATGGCGGCTAATTGCCATTTATCCTTGCAACATGCCACTTGGCAAGGCGTAATGATGACTTGTGCTGAGCTGGCACTGCCTTATGATGTCGGATCGGCAAGTCATATATATCGGCTCGATAAGTCATAACCGACATGTTGTAACCGATATGTCATAACCGATATGAGATGTCGGTTAATTGATGAAGATGTCGGTTCTTGTGTCATTTTCACCCGATATGTGGTTGCTTTGGGACCCGCGAAGATATCAACCTTTGGAGGGAATATGATCTTCCATTTACTGAGCATAAAAACCTGTTAAGCATTACTAACTTGGTTTACCAAAAACCATGTCAACAATACATTTATGCGAGGTTTTATATGGATATGCGATTCGTAAATATGCAATAACAATACGCATAATCGATAGTTATCTACTATCTAGCCTTATAGATTTGGGTATGCGAATCTTAAATTATGCGAACATATGTCGCATAATCCTAAATGATGCGTTTGATTGATCTGGCCTGGATAAGCGATTAAAAACTATAAATTACTTTTATTTTTTTCATTACGCTATGCGAACACAATGCGAATTATCGCACTTTGTTCACAGTTCTGCGAATAATAATTTCCCTTCGAGTATTGTCACTGATTTTGCTGGCAAAACTCTGTTGACGGATATTAATGGTTTCATTGTCCATGCAACATATTGTTTTTTTTTGACATATGAATCATGATTAAACACATACTTGACAGAAGAAAAAAATATTTATTATTGCTGCAGTCAGTCCAACATTTGCCACGGAAGCGGATCGCGATCTTTTTCATTGGGTGAAATCCTTTCCATTTCTTTTTTTTTGCTGCGATGGAAAGATAGGGTTTTGAGAAGTGAAAGGTCGCTTCTTCAACAAAGAGAATGAAAGGTTAATAAATACAGATAGCACTTAAAGGCTAGGTAGAGATATACATCAACTTGACAACTAAATGAGGAAGCATGCAAATCGTCATTGTTTTTTAGGTGTAAAAGCAGACAATCAATCAATGCGGTGCGTAACTTATGCGAACAATATGCGAAGCATTTTCGATTTGGATATGCGGTGCAGACTATCAATCAATGCGGTGCGTAACGTATGCGAATAATATGCGAAGCACTTTCGATTTTAATATGTGGTGCAGACATTCATGCGGTCCACATGGATATGCAAAAAAAATGGCAGATAATCGTAAATTATGCGGCTTTCGATTTGGATATACGATTCATTAATTCTGCAGTTGAAGACTAGGCGAATCATCCCAGTTGTACGATTATTATGGGATATGATATGGGAATCGCACAATCAACCCAATTGTGCGATTATTATGGTACATGTTATGCGAATCGCGCAATCAACCCAGTTTCACTAATTTTGTTAGCCAATCGTGTGCAGGTCACAACTTAGGGCACCAACACAGTATTTTTCCCGTTAAAAGTATTATTTTCATTAAATTGGTTTACAATTAAAAACTCCATCTTCATCTTAATTGTCATGGATTGGACGTGATGGACAAGATGACGATTTGTGACCTGTTTCTTTACATGTACGACATCTCCTCGGGCGTCTTGGATGAAGAGTTGGTGCATTTTGACCTTCTTCATTTGAAAAAAAGTCATTATCACCATCGTATAAAGGGCACTTTTGACCCCGCACCGTGAGCACATCTGCTAACGCCGTACTCTACGTGATGATCCTTCTCCAGCGGAATAACGTTGAGTCCGTGGTCGACCTGCTTGTTTGGGATCATTTGGCAGAATTACCTTTTTACGCATAATTTCCGGGAGCAAGTGCCATTCATCTGGATGCGCGACGGGGCTAACGGTGCTTTGGTACATCCTTGCAACTGAGTAGGTTTTGTAATGGTCATTAACGAAATCTATAATATCTAACCCGGCTTCCCTGTTACATATCGTAAATACACATCATATTAGAATATAGCAATTTTTTTTTTTAAAGAAAAAAGCGATAATGTTGTTTGGTAAACATTACCGAATAGCCGTAGATGCATGTAAGCAAGGTAGTAGATCTGTTTCAAACACACGACAATCACATGTTCTTGCCTCTAAATCTACCACGTAGGATCATGTTTCTTCCATAATCCTATAACGTTGCATGCCGAGTGTGGTAATGGATAGAGTACGACCTTTCTCGAACAAAAGATCCAACCGCAATTGAGTCCACTGCATTAGCGGATGATTGCGACCCTCGGCGGATGCACACCGAACAAAAACCATTTCTCTATCGTTGCTCGAACACACTCCAACAACGAGCAAACGGGTAACATCTGGCCCAACGGAGTTTGTTGTTCAAACCTTTGCATGAATTGGATGTCATGAATCCATAGCGTCGTACAGGTGTAAAACACCTCGCCCAAGCATTACCGGAATTTCATTAGTTAGCTTTTTAAAGGCTTCGGGTTTTAGGCTTTGGATGGATGACAAGTAACGATAGAAGTTTTCACGCCGATAACAATATGCCGCCTTATAAAATATGTCCAAGACAGATTTCTCAAAAGGCCTCATTTGTTTTGTGATGTGATAACAACAAAATGAATGATGAGCCTCGGGGAACACTATTGGGACAGAATATATGATAGACTCATGTCTATCCGATATGATGAGGAGGTTATCAGGACAACCATAGGCCCTTTTCAAATGAGTCAAAAACCAACTCCAAGTCTCACGACGCTCTACATCACCAATGCCAACTGCGAGGGGAAAGATTTGGTGATTCCCGTCCAATGTGGCTGCAACAAACATAATGCCCTTGTATTTTTCCTTCAAGTGGGTACCATCTATCACAATTACCAGGACACCAGCTCGTTGAAAGCCCTCAATGCTAGCTCCTAGAGCAAAGGACAAGTGTTGGAATACCTCGCCATCTCATTGCAGTTCGACAACTGTACCTGGATTACGAACCTGCAACATGTGCAAGTAACCGAGAAGCCGCCCCCATGATTCTTCATGACCTCCATAAACTTTTTCAAAAGCACGGTGTCTTGCTCGGAGGGACACATTGTAGCTGATCGACAAACCATGCTCCTTCTATATTTGTTTAATAATTCTCCGTGTAGATACCGTCTGGGGATTTGTTTGAATAGTTGGTGCGTAAATATGAGTGAGAACCTTAGAATTAGCCGAACCGTGTCAATTGTGCGTCAAACTCCCTTCGCATGTATGCTCGAGTTTCAAAGTAGTTATTCTCCATACATCTCGCTTTGCCCTTGCACATAACTTGTAAGAACACCCTTGATACCGACAAACAGATTATAACCTAGAAGTGCAGGATTTGGGTGTTCGACACTCAACTTTTTGTTGCAAGTGATACAGTTGAATGACACAAATCAACTCTTTTTTCGAAAGAAAGACAGACCCCAAAGATAATTCTATATTGTTCGAGGGTAAGTGGATGGGTTGTCTATCTGATCCAGTTGTCGTGGGCAGCATAGGAAAGGACCACATTCGTGGCTCAACGTCGGATTGTCGGGTGCTACCTCGATTCATATATGCAAGACTTTCAACCTCAATATGGTCGGTGATTAATCTTAGCTCTTCAATATGCTCGCTATACCACGCCCTGAAAAGCTTGAACATTTGATTCTCAGGGACCTCTTTGTCTTCGTCGCCTGAGTCACCATTGTGCGTCTTGGTTTGGTCATTATTATTGTCATCATCACGAGAATGACCTGGTTGGTTCGAACAACCCGCAGTTTGATCATCAGCACCCCGAGGATATCCAGTATGTGTAAATGAACTAGGGCCTGCTTGATGTGAATATGGGGCCTCGTGGGAAAATGCAGAACTACCAACACCAAAAGAACTCGAAAATACACCTTGGGACGCCATCATTTGCGTGAAGCTTTGTTGCGCCGTCCCCAGAACACCAACATTTACTCGCTTCTCCAACTCCACGTAAATGTTGGGAGTTTTTTGTTCTTCAATCAGCTCTAAGATATCCTCACTGGATTCGATTTTCATCTTCACTTTTCGTTCCCTTCCATCAAATACTGCCCACAATATGTACTCAAAATTACAAGGATCGGCCTTCAATAATGCTTGAACACGAGAAACTACTTCAGAATACATTTGTCGGCCATAATTTATTCTCATCAGCTCTGCCACTCCACCAATATATGAAC